TAAAAACAGATGATTCTTTGGTACGACAGAAACCCAAAACTTCGTATTCCTCATAGCACAAATACAAAAATAGCAACAAAAAAAAAAAAAAAAACGAAGAAGAAGCAAGAAACATGCAAACCAATTAAATAAACACAATCAACCAATCCAAATCGAATCCCAAAACACGAACGAAATGAAAAAAAACGTGAAGGAACATAAGCCTAGAAAAGAAGCTCAGAGAGAGAGGGGTGTTCTGACCTTAAAAATTCCGGCCAAACGAACGAAAGCAACAGTGAAGAGCAGCGGCGCTGGGGAAGAGGAAGCGTCAAATTGGAGAGGTAATTTTTGTTCTGGAAGAGTCAGATAAGTATTAGGGTTGGCAGGTCAAGATTGGCATTTTTAAAATTCATCAGGTTTATTATAGGTATTATGAAAGTTTAATTAATTATACTGATAGAGATTACCGCATAATTCAAAAACTAAAGTTGTCATCTACCTGATTCTGATTTTGGCCGTGGCTTGTTTGAAATTCTCTAAAAAGTACTTTTCATGGTTTTTACTAAATATCAATTTTAACTGACTAGAGAATTGATTTTATATTTCACAAGGCACTACCAAACGTACCCTTAAACTAAAATGTCAAATATGCGAGGTTCTTAAACCTCGTTTTAAATCGTTTTTCTTAATGATATTTTTTTAAAACAAAACAGTCATGACCTTTGTTCCTAAAAAAAAATGCATGACAATTTTTATAATAAATCAAGTAAACAAAAAAAAAATTTTGTTTTTAGGTAGAGGCAGGTGTTGGGGTGGGGATTGCGATTAAGATTTTGTTTGACAGGAGTTGAACTTCTTCAAACCTCAAGCCCAATTTCGACTTCACCCATATCGAAGTCTTGATATTGGAAAGAAGAAATTTTTAGTTCATGAAAAATTTTGTTTTAAAATAAGAAAATTTCTTCAATTATAAACAACAAGAGTTAGAACAATAAAAAAGAAAGAAAACAAAAATAAGATTACCAACGTATTTTCTGTAAAAAAAGATCACTTTGTTTAAAAACGAAACAAAAAACTAATAAATAAATTTAAAAAAAAAACGATTCAGAATGGGGTACAAGCTATCGATATGTAATACATATATTAATATAGAGACAATTTCGACAACTTTAAACGAAAATGGACTATTTCTATTGAGATAAGAAAATTCAGAGATCTTCTATAAGTCCACAGACCGATGTAATGGTTTTCATCTAAAAATTAAATGTAGAAACCATGCATAAGACACCAATATAATCCAGAGAAAACTTAATTATGAGATAAAATTGAATACAAAAACTAATTTTAGAGAAAAAAATTCACAAACTACTCATAAATTTATTCATTTTCATTTTAAGTTTAAAGCTACAAAAGCTCTCTTTTGTTCACATTTTAATTCCAGGGATTTTGGGTCTCGGATCTAGCTTGCAAAGTTACATTATCATTGAAATTTTTTTTTGTCCTTTTGGCAAAGGCTTTTAACTAATTTTAGAGTAACTCAAGTTTTGTTGGCACTTCCAAAAATAGGGATGCGATAGATAAAAGCAAAAAGTCCTCTGCGTTTAATAAAAAATAGACAAATCTATTTCCATAAAAAAAACCCAAAATTCTAAAAGAAAAAAAAACCAAATTTATCTTTTATTTTTAAAATGCAGAAATTATTCTTTTTTTTTTCGTGATTTCATAAAATTCGAAATACAAGATTTTCTGCAAAATAAAATGTGTGTTTGATTTTAAGAACAAGAACTTTGTTAGCATTGGTAAAATAATAATTTCCAAAACAATAAAAAAATGATTGTCCTTAAATGTTGAAAAATTAATAAATCAACACTATTGCCTTTGTTAGAGCCATAATTTCTTTTATAAAACGTAATTAATTAATTATGTCTTTTTCACCCATTTAATTTTGGCTGAATTTAATATTATGGATGGATATTGTCTGATTCCAAAAACACATGGGTGGATTATTGGATTTCATCAGATTAGTAACAGTTATTTGCATTTTTGAAAGAATAATGCTAGGGACATCAACTCAAATCTCAAATCTTATATATTAATTAATGTGGCATGTGAATTGTCATTTTTCCATTAGTATGTATTTAAAATATTACTAAGTCAATTAATGAAAGATATTGCATCTACTAATAAAAAGATAAAAACTCACGTGCCACATCAGTTGGTTCATAAAAGTTGAGATTTGAGTTAGTATCCTTAACATTATTCTTTTTGAAACCATGGGATATATGCTTTCGTTTCGATTGCACGCCCTGATAGAAATATTTACCAAGAAGGAAAATGAGACAAGTACCCCTTTCAGTTGCATGAGTCTTAATTCTTACTCTTTACTCTTGATTAATACATTTTTAATCAAATACTATGTTAGTCAAAAAGATATTAATCAAGAGTAAGGGAAAAAAATCTAGACCCATGCACTTTTAAGGGTAAGTTCAGTAATTTTTTCAAAATATTTTTATGTGTTCTTTTCACAACTCTAAGTCACAATTTAAAATTTTTTTTTATATGAGAGAAAATATTATAATAAAAAAGTTAAATTTAAATTTTTATTAGAGAATTTGAGTTGTAAAAAGAAGAAGACTTATGTTTTATAATCCAAGGTACTTTCCTACGTATGTAAAGCCTAGGGTTGACGTACTACTTCATTAAATGAGATGTTATCTCTTACGGTATACGCACTACTTCACTATGTAAAACATGTCATCCAAATTTATACTAACTTTAACAATCTAAGAATGTTTTTATGAATTACTTCCAAACTTGAGCGTTATGAGTTTTTGACCGCCGCAACCCTATGTCTCCAAATTTTCAAGAGAAGTCCAATAAATCCTGATTTTATCCCACAAAAGGTGATGGCCGTGGGATCCACATGGGTACCACCAAGGTGGCCCACCATTTCTGTTTGACGGGATTCCTATCGAGGTAAAAGCATTTTCCATTTCTTAGCTGCTTTTGTTTGTTTTTTTGTTTTTTTGTTTTTTTTTTTGTGCGTGTCTTTTACAGGAATTTGTGTTTCTCAGGACTTCATTCTGTTGATTATTTTACCATCAATAATATTAACAATTCTACTAGCTTCTCTCCAGCTGCTTACTAAAAGGTAATATTGCTCTATTATTTGCTATAAGTTTGATTCTGATATATTAGTGTTATTAGTTAACCATCAACAAGTTTACAGGAATTTGTGTTCATACATACATACATGTGTGTGTATATATATATATATATATATATATAACAGCTCCTCTCTCTCTCCATCTCCATACACACACACACGCATATATATATATATATATATAACGAATTATATTTCGTATTTCAGTTATTACCTTTATGGGTCTAACAAGTCCATTTGTCCCTCGGACAATACAGTTATAAGCATTGGAAAGGTTTGAACATGCATGTATGGTCATAAGGGTTTTGTGAAACTGACATCTACCCGATTCAACTGCAATGTATACATACCAGATTCCCTCTTCATACTCTCTATTGACCTAACTTGATCACTTTATGAGTGTAACACCTCATATGGAAACTATCAAATAATCATATGGTAAGCATGCCGATCGATAAAATAAAATTCCCTCGTGAACTAGATCTATACGGTACATGCTTCAGGGCTAAATTACAAATGATTTGTGACAACTTGCACAAAATGCGTCTAATTAATTGATTGTGACATATATATACATATATGACTATTATTAATAATTATATACTCCTAATATTATTCTGAATTTTGGGGGCCAACTATTAGGGATTATAACTACCAACTAGAACTTATATTTATTCTTAGATTGGAACTTTCTATGGAACATTTTCTTTCTTGTGGTTTGGTTCTTGGCTAATCGATTGCGCCCTTGACCTGCCAATTAGACATATGATATCAACTCCTCGCAAACTGCAATAATAGTGGATTTTGTGGTTTAAGTTTTAATTAATTGCCTTTTGAGTACATTCCTAAAGAAACTATCCCCATTATAACAACCAACATGATTGGATATGTGGGCCTTTAATTTCACATAAAAAGTGATTAGACCATATTAATTTATGCTTTATATTTCATTTGCTAATTAATTTGAGACTTCAACGATAAAGGTATGGCAGGATGAATGTTCGTGAAAATTTGAACTTACTAAAATCAGCAAAAAGATGCCTTCTGGGACTAATACTTTATGAAAATGCAATTACGAAGCTTTTTCCACGTCAGAGTTAAAAAAAAAAAGAAAAGAAAAAGAATCAAAGAGACCATATATAAGAAACAATGAAAGAGGCTTCGAGTAGATTCGCCAGTTAGAAATACTACTAAAGTTTATATATACACATTTGAATTTTCCTTAGAATATAATTATTTCGAGTACATGAGAATTCATTAACAACAAATTAAGCAAGTTTAGGGGTTGTCAAGGGATTTTAAGGGTGACATACATATATATACTAATTAATTTCTTTTCAGTTGCTCTAGAAGTCGTAGTATATTGAAGTTTCATGAAATAATTCAAACCTGATTGAGAGTAAACCTAGCTTCTGCTTCCAAATGAAGCACATAATTGGCTTTGATGACTAAATACTTTGATCAAGTGATTCCCACAGGAATCATTAACTCGGTACGTATTAAAAATTTCAAACAAAACTAATACATTTACATACATACATACATACATATATATATATATATATATATATATATAGACACACACACCGATCGATCCATCCTTCTCTTTCCAAAATCAGAACCATCATAAATAAGTAAAATAACAAAAAAAAAAAAACTGTCTTTCCCTTGTTCGCGACCGATGGCCATGACAAATACCTAATTCAGGAAAAAAAAAAAAAAACCCCATAATCCATTCTGATAAAAAAATGGCATGGGATGTTTCATAAAACCACTCACCAACATACACTTTTTTTTTTTTTCATTTTTGTTTTTTCAAATTCATACATAATAAACGGTCTACTAATAATCATGTTTATATATCAAACTGAGAAACCCAAAACAAATCCGAATTCCAAATATAAGAAAAGAAATAGACGCGAATAGACACAATTACACGAAACTCCATATATAGACGTACATATAGATATTTATATTGATATTAAAAATCTGTGTGACAAATTATGATTTCTCTAATCAAGCCCCATTTGAAGAAGGTGAAGAGCACTCGCAAACTACCTCAGTGGTCTCAACTTCCCTCCGGTGGAAGTTCCGGTGGCAGCCGCAGGCGGCGCAGGTGAGTGCACCGCTCGTCCCTTCCTCGCCGCTCGCCATGAATTCCCTGCAGCCGTCCACAGCGTAGCCTCCTACACCGGCAGCGTGATTCTTCTGGCACTCTCCGTATCTCACGTTCCGAACACTCATCGACGAATTCGCGGAGCTTCTCAAGGGTTCCTCCGATCTTCTCACCACCACTTGGCGCTTCCTCATGATCTTATAGCTTCCAATCTTCACAGAGGAGAGAGAGATGGAAAGAGAGAGAGAAAATTGTGTGAGAGAAGAGATTGCTTTTTGTTGCGTTATATGGTCAAGCCCTAGCTAACCCTAGATCTATATTTATAGAAAATGTAATGTAAAAGGTGTAAATAAGAGATATCTCTCACCTAGGTTCTTGGTGTAAAATCTTCACTGTGTTATAATTGGACTAAGAGGGAGGAACAGTGTACGACCCACCTTTTTACTGTATCATTCATTATAGTTGATCTTATTGTAAATATTTATCATGTTTAATTACCACACTAGTGAATTGTGAAAGCTACTCATTTTTATTTTTATTTTTTTCTAATAAAAATTTTCGTTGTGAATTGACGGTCCAACTACCCCACAAGTCATTATATTTGTAGAGAATAAAGACGATTCTCACTGCAAATAAGGCAAATCCTGAATGTGTTAGGGATTTTTAAAAAAGGAGACTTTTACCTTTCAAAGTGATTGATTTAATATAGAATAACCAGCTAAGCCTTACTTTTTAAACCTAATATATACTGTGGCCCCTTAGTTACTAAAGGCAGGTTTTGTGGGGTGCACTGATACGATGTCAACAACAATTGTCTACCTTGAGCTAAATATATCTATATATCTATACACACACACACACACACACATTATATATAAATATATATATATATATATATTTATACTGAAATGCGATGGGTAAGCTTGCCAACCGCCCGTACGAAGATGCTATACCACTAACTTCTTGTTTGCATGTAAAATTATTCAAAAAGCTTTGTCATAATGCGAAACTTAATTTGTTGGCATGCTCGTGATGCTTTCCAATCTGGAAATTTTTGTAATTAAGTGATTGCTACTTCTAGATTAATAGCCAGTGATATAATTGACAGTACACTCTTGCATATGGTAATATGGTTTTTACTATCTATATATCATTACGATCGGTAATACATTTCTTTTATTTAATATGGAAGAGAAGAAATACAATAAAGTACTCTTTATAATAATGGTGCATTATTGTCCGTAATCTTTGATTCAATGTGTGAATTCAATAATCTTAGGACCAGTTTAGTATTAATTGCTACTAAATTAATTAAATTTTATATAAGTTATTCCATCTCATAGTTCTTTTTTTAAAATTGATACATACTGCTAAATTAATTTTAGAATAATTATTAGTCATACTATGAGGAAAATTTATTAATAAAAACCGTTATCAATATTTTCAGATATTTAGACAGTGACACCAAAACCAGAATTTGAGAAGTAAGATATCTAGATTATTTCTCAAATTCCATCTTTAGAGGTTACCAATAGTTTGCCTTATTTCTTTTTTCAAAAAATTATTCCATGTGCAATTAGCATATAGTTTTTTTTTTCTTTTTTTTTTTTTTCAGAAAAAGGAAATAAGGGACAATAATGTGTAAATAAGGAGATAAGTTATATATTAGCACGCAACTAAACTAATGATGAGTAAATATATCTTTCTAGTTAAATACAATATATATTTAGCATACCTGCAGTCTTATATATAATATATTTGCGTATATATATATATATGTGTGAGTATAATTGGATAATTTTCAAACATGATATATCATAAATTAATTTGATTAGACATATTGTGTTAAGTTTTGATAGTAAAGAGTGAGTGAGTATCGTCTCTACAGAGATTTGGTATTAAATTACTGCTAAGTACCGAGATTATCGTAACTCAACTTTATCTAGGCAACCGATTTTAATGAAATAAAAATAGAACTAGAACAAATATAAATACAAAACAAAATAAAATATGAAAACTTCTATGCACAAATGTACTAGAGACTTGACTTCACCTTATCATTCCTATTATCGTCCTATCAAACCATTGCTAGTCAATTCTACTCAATTCATTAATCAAGGAACCTAATCTAATCTCGTTACCTCTTCCGAGCGTCAAACGAAGTCATATGCATGAATACCCGAATCAATATTCCTATCTAACACATTTACTCATAAACTCATTAAGTTTAACCCGTAAAGTGAAAATCAAATGTTGATCGCCTCCCGGCCTCACAACAATCAAAATCCTAGTTGATAATCAAGGTCTTGATCACCTCCTAGTCTCACAATATCATAGACTCTCAACGAGATTATCTAAGTGTCGATCTCCTCCTGGACTCGCAACAACCTATACTGTGTTTTCTAATTCCGGATTATGAAATCAATCTCTCCCGAGCATCAAAATCACAATATAAAATTATCTAACTCCTTGGCCACATAAATTAAAAACATTAAGCATAGAGAAACATAAATAAATTAAGATGGAATTTAATTAACAATTGACAAGATAATCAAACATGATTCAAATAAAGCTACATCAAGCCCTAGAATATGAAGTCTAGCTCAAGATAGAGGAATCCATAACAAAAATCACAAATTTAAGAATAAAAACTAAAAAACTACAATAAAAAGGGAGAAGGAAGAGAAAACTCTAGTGGAGATGAGCTTTAAGTCTTCAAATCTTCAAGAATCTCTCCCAAGCATTCTTCAAGAATCTCCAACTTCAAGCTTCTCTCTCTAGGAATTTTTTGTACCTCTAATCCTCTCCAAGTTGGGAACTAGGGTTTGGTTTGCTTAAGTATGCTCAAATATAGAGAAAATCTCAACCAAATTCATCTGAGGGTCCAAAATTAGCCATCTATATTGATCAAGGGCTGAAAAGTGGCCCAAAATTCGTCACAACATGCAGGAGGGTGCGGCCGCGCGGCTAGTGGTGCGTCCTCACGCCTAATGTGTCATGGGCGCGCGAGGTGTGGCGCGCCCAGGCAGGTAGTTCTGCCCAAGAGGACCCTCGTGCAGCCTGAGTGTGTTTTGTTCTAATTTTTGGCTAAAAAAAGCCACTAAGTCTCATTTTATTATTTTTCCAACAAAATAATATCAAAAATATATTAAACTAACAAAAATGCTTAAAAACTCACAAATATATAAATTAAAAAATACTTAGGGCCCGTTTAGTTCTCTGATTCGAGTTTTTAATTCGAGTTGAGATGTGATTTTATGTGAGAGCTTTTTACTGTAGCAAAAAAAAATTAAATGTGATTATTTGTGAGAGTTTTTTACTATAATAAAACTCGAATCAGCGAAATGAACGGGGCCTTAATTTATCCATAAATGACTTCCTCATCACATATACTATAAAAAATTACGTGACTTGATCAGCATAATCGGGAGTACATAGACGAATTTGAACATGTGCAAAAGTTAAAAAGAGCGCCATATACTTCTAGAACTTTAATCATAATCTAGTGTCCAGAGGGTTGCTTTTATCCTAGGACATAGGGTAAAAAAAAATAACGTAAAAAATGAGGGGGAAAAACATTGAGTCTAAGACGTACCCTGACCAATGACTAATATTCTGATCTTTTAATCATGAGATGATATGCAAATGTTATCGCAAGTACATGAGTACTAGGTAATTAAAACAAAAAAGTAGGCTGATTTGAAAATACAAGTAAACAACATAAATACAATTAAATTAAAAAAGTACGCTGATTTGAAAATTCATTTAAACAACATAAAATACAATTAAATATATTTGTAGGTGTGTGTAAAAAGTCTTTTGTGTCGCACATAGATGTGTTAATTAAATGCTCATTTAGTTCGCTGATTTAAGTTTTTAATTCTAGTTGAGATGTGATTTTATGTGAGAGTTTTTTATTGTGGTAAAAAAGTTAGATGTGACTATTTCTAAGAGTTTTTTACTATAGCAAAACTAAAATTCTAAACTCGAATCGGCGAAATGAACGGGGTCTAAGACACTTATAAAATGAATATTGAATTCCTAAAAATTTAATGGCGCGCTTGGCAAATGTATTTAATATGATTTTGATTCTGCCACAATGTTTTTCTCTTGCGTAAAATTTGAATTTAAAAAGTTCCTATTGATAAGTTCTCTCACAAAATTTCCGTCAATGAGTTAAAATTTTAATCACTGACTTGAATACGTAAACCAAACGGGCATTAATATTCTACCGGATCGTACGTGAGCGACACAAACTACATCAACATAAACTATCTATAGTGTTTATGTTTAGTACTACTGGAAGTTTACATATACCTAACTTGGAATCACACGCTCGTACTCATGAGATCTATTACAACTTATTGTATGTTTAATTTTGACTATTACCTTAAGTCTTATTCATTTAAATGGATCTTCCCTTTGTCCCAGTTCACCGTACGGAATGCATATAAGAGTTTCTGATATCTACCGAGAGGGTAATCAAGTTGTATGTAAGCTGGCTTCGGAAGCGGTTCGGGCTCAGTCATAAAAATGGTGGTGGAAAGATCTGGATTTCTGTAGATCGCTGATTTGTAAGGATATTACAACATGTCTTTCTGGTTATAGATTCTCATATATATGATCCTGAAATTGAGTACTTTCTTTTATAAAATATATATATATATATATATATATATCTTTGGTTTTTTTTATTGGGTTTCACTTAGAAGGTTTTTAATGAGATTCAATTTGTAAGGCATTGGATATAGGGGTAGTCTTGTGCTCGACTTAGTGCAAAACTCTGATAGAGTTCGTTATTTCTCTCATAAGAAGAGGCCTTTTATTTAATATTTTGTATGGCTTTTGACTTGGATTTTTGTTTTTCACTCTTTTGTATTATTTTATTCTTTTTCTTTGTTTCTAAAAAAAAAAAATGTAAAGTAGAATTGAGGGTTTGATAAAAATGATGCATCTAATGAGCGCCAATTTAAATGGGATGTACTAGTTGTTCATGATATATTATTATCACTTAAAAAAAATACAAATAACATGAAAGTCTCCCCTTTTAAAACTTTAGAGAAAGAAGTAAATTGATAAGGAGGGACATTGGATATATATATGGACGAATTTAGTAATTATTACGTAGTTATATAGTAGCCTGATAAAGAAGTTTCCAATAATTTGGTATTTATCTACTATTGTATGACAAGTTCAACATGAATATCCTTGTGTTATAATCGATTTTTATTTTTATTTTTTTCGAAACTAGGGTTCATACAAATTACAAAAC